AAGTGATAAATTGGGATGTCAACCCAGGGTCTGAACTCTTAACCACTACCCTAATGCACATKAATAATGATAATCAGCACGCAGCGAGCACCTATTCTGGGTGCCTTATCTCCATCCTGGAGAAGACGAAGCTTGGTGTAGCACCATCGTCCCCGGYTGTGTGGTTTGCAGGGCAGTGGGGGCTGGGGAGACGAGCTCCCCAGGGAATCCAGGATTACCCATTGAGTGGTGGTCAACCACAGGACAGGGGGACAGGTGGGAATTTGGGGGGATGGTGACAAGGAGTTTTCTATTCGTGTGGTGAAAGAGGACTTCTTAAGTCCTGCCCGAGACAGATTGCCTCATTTCCTGTCTTGAAGCCGCTCAGCTGCTTTTGGGTGACCACAGTGGTCCCTTGGCCCGCTCCTTTAGATGTGGTCCAAGTAGACGTGCCAGTTTAATTAACCGCTAAGCGGTTCCCTTAACTCACGCCTCCCTCCKTCATGGCAGAGAGAGACACGTTCTCTTTCCTGCATATTGTGGGTTGGAAAATAGACCATTAGAGCCCTGTTTTTCTTGTGCTAATAATACCCAAGGAGCTTTGGAGCCTACAATTGAGTAAGTTGACTCCACAGACGATTTTCTCCACCTCCAGTGAAATAAATACTATAACAGTGTTCCTCTCCCTAGTTAACTGAGTCAAATAATACATTTTTTTTTTGGTTTGTTTGTTTCAAGGAGTGCGTAGTAARCCATTCTTTGCAAGGACAAAGAAAACATAAACCTTTGGAGCACACTAAATATTACTAGAGATCCTGGGCCATAACACCCGATAGTACGCAGGGTCTCCTTTCTGTTTGTTGAGTGGTGACTATTTGCAGGTTCTGGGACAGTCCCCATGGGCTGCAGAAACCTCTGAGCTTTGAGCCCCGGTCACCAAAGCCTCCAGCATTGGTCCATGTGAACTGGTGCCACAGTCTGACTGAGCCTGTCAATAGCTGCAGAGGACATGGGAGGACACTTGAAGTGTCTGGGGTCTGTGGGGGACATCTGCCACTCCGGTTAGGTGACTCGAAGCCTTGTGCCTTTGAATCCTGTCATTGACCAGAATCTCTTGTCTATGTCTGCCTTTTTTGGTGGCAGCTCAGGGTCACCCTTAGGAACAGTCSTCATGGTTTAGACCTGGCTCTGACGCAGGGGCTGGGGGAGGGGAGGGGAGGGAGGGGATTGCCTTTGTTCCTTTGTAGAACTTTCCAGTCTCTTTGGAAGCCGTGCTAGGCTTTTGGAATTCTTGGGTTGTCTTTTGAAGGTTTTATGTCCCCTCCCAGGTTGTCAGCTTTATTTTTTCTTGCTGTCCGTTTGTCTGCAGGGTGGGCAGGAGCCTCCCCTCTCCCTTCTCATTGGCTTTGTCCTTGGGAACTGGGAATGAAGCTTGGTGGGACCTGGGTCAATGGAGAATCCATAGGTGCTGCGGGAGGTGGAGGCTGGAGCGCTCTCTGTGAACTCCTGGCAGTTGGAAGGTGTGAACCTGGCTGTGCAGGTTTTGACGGGAGCCCTCCTTGCTGGCTTGCTGCTGGGGTGGGGGGTGTACTTCTCTGCCTTCTSTCCTGCTCCGTTCCTTTGCCCTGCAGCAGGGTGGGGAACAGGGCTCACGTCTTAGGGCTTTCTGTGGCCTGTGGAGTCACAGAGGAGAGACCCAGGGAGGAGCTCAGGTGTGGCTCTTTATAAGTGTGCMCCCCCTCTTTTGTCAGAGATGCTGAGGCAGCTGATGGTGGACAAGAGGAAAGGGGACCCAGGGAACGGAAAGCCAGTGTCACAGAAAAGATGAGACTCTTAAGATCTGTAGCAAAGCTTTTGAAAGTAAAATAAAATGAGCACCTGTGTTCCCAACACCCGGTTCCAAGCAACATGCTGTGGGTTGCCTTCTTTGCTTCAGATTAAAAAAAAAAAATGTTACCAAATATAATTAGAAGTCTGCAGTGGGTCCCTCTTGGATCCATTCTAGTCCCTTCTCTCCAGAGGCGTCCACTTCCCTGAATCTGATGGTGGTTTTGGTCATATGAGTTTGCATTGATTCACTGTCTGTCTTTGTGTCTTTTAATAACAAATGACATTTTTTGCACAGATAACTCCATATAAATGATACAGCACTATACATATTATACTCATTGCTTTGCTCACTGACTGTTATGTTTCTGAGATTTATCCACCATGAACAGTTCATGTCATTTTTCACTGTGGTACAACAGTGGTTGACACACTATGGACCATGGACCAAATTTGGCCTATTGTCTGTGTTTGTCAATAAAGTTTTATTGGAACGTGGCCCCTTGTTTCCGAATTATCTGTGACTGCTTTACCCTCCAGTGACCAAGTTGAGTCATTAGAACAGAGACACATCAGTGGCTAGCAAAACCTAAAATTATTTACCATCTTTCCCTTTACAGAAAAAGAGCCACCTCAGGCTTTCAGCTGTCCCCTTGTATAGTGCACCACATTGCCTCTGTTCTCTGATTGATGAACATTTGGGTCATTTCCCATTTTTTTGTTTTACAAATAATGGCTTCAGCAAACATCTACTGTCTGTAGAGTGTGTAAGAGCTAGAAGTGAAATTACCAGGTCGTAGGGTATACGCACTTTAAAATTTACTAAATCGCTCTGCAAGGTGGTCCTACCAATTTGCATCCCACTTGGAATCCWTGAGACTTCCTCTTTGCCAACAACCTTTAGTCTAAGCCCTTAAATGTGGTCTGTGTCATGCGTGTGAAGTGCCACTTCATTACTGGTGACAGTACACACATTTTCCTGAGTTTTTAATTGACCATTTGCCATTCTTCTTACTGAATCCTTTGCCCGTTTTCCTATTGAGTGGTCCTTTACTTTTTGATTAAGAGAGTTCCTCACATATTCTGGCTACTAGTCCTTGTGGTTACATGCATTCAWACCAGTCTGTGACTTGGTTTTCCAATGTACATGTATAAATACATACACATAGGTAGTATGTATGTACCCATATATAGACACATACATGTGACTTTTTTTCTGGAGGGAAGCTCATGTGGTTGAAAGGGTCTAAGGCTGAAGGGAAAGTGAGTTAGTTGATAATGAGTCTGGGCTTGGTACTAGGGTGTTAACGCAGTCTTGATGGCTTACCTTGGAGTGATTGGGTGCCTTCCCAGGGTTGTTCTTGAATGAGCTGCTTGTTCCACATAGATGTGACCTACAAGGTCCCAGCTGAAGGTCACCATGGTGGTGCTGATGGGCAGAAGGCTTTGGACCAAAACCCAACATGATCTGGGGTTCTGTGTTTCCCCATTTGGGTTTTGGCTGAYGTCAGACATTGGTTTCAGCCATTCTCTGGCCCACAGCAATTTCATAATCCAATCTTCTATTTTCAAGTGGAACTATGATTGTTTGGCTTTACACTGGCTGAGCATCCTCCAAACCCAGAGCTCTGGCTTTCCCCATCCTCTGCTTCCTCTGACCTTCCAAATTAAACTTCGTAGGTTGAACATTAAAAAAAAAATAAACAGAGCCTGCAAGCCTTTAGCTGACCCAGCCCCGTGAACTCCACCAAGTCCTGGTAGCTGTCATCTGTATGTGACCCAACAGCAGCTCAGTGGAGCTCACAGCAGAGAGATTGCAGCTGCCACCTCACACTTGAGKACCTTGCAGGCTGTTTCCAGAGGCAGCCTGAGCCCAGAGCAATTCCCGAGCTGGGCCTGGCATCCGCTCTGTCCTGGTCTCGCCACATGCAGTTCAGGTTCAGTTCACCACCTGAGGTCCAGACTGAACCCTCTTGGTCATTACCACTGTCCCCCCCTGTGGGAGGTCATATCCTGTGTGTCCAGGACATACATAACTAGGGGGTGCTGCCTGCCAGTCTTGGCCCTCTGTGTTTTCTCATAGAAATCATGTGATGTTGAAATTAACGCTGCAGCAGTGTGAGAGCCACAGGCCTGTGACTGGTGCAGTCACACAGGGCCGGTGTTTAGGCCAGGAGGGTGCCACGCCTGCTCTTATACTCTGTGCTTGCTGTCATGAATAGTTTTAATGATTTTTGAACAGCAGACCCCATATTTTCAATTTGCTCTGCATCCGTCCATGATGTAGCCAGTCCTGTCCACCGACAAAGCAACCAAGGCTTGGAGAGGCGAAGGGATGTACCCAGGATTGCACAGTGAATAAGTAGCAGGGTTATTTCTATGTGACTCCTTCRCTGATTGAAAAGAGCCCTGGAGTGAGCCTCGTGAGGCATGGGGACGCGAGGTGTCCTGTGCTGCAGAGACACTATCTGCCTGTGCACATTTGCTTATGCGTTATTAAGTAATTATGTGTTGACCTCACACTGACCATTTGCCACCCTTTAGCTTGAAAGCAGGGCTCAGCGCTGTCATTTTCTTTTCTTTCTGTGAAAGAACCTAGAACAGGGAGCCTTTTGGAGGAGCTTTTTGGAAATGGTCACTGACCTGACTCACTGGGTCTGTGGATTTTTTTTTTTTTTTTGGTGGCAAAGACTCAAGACCAGGAGTTTACATTCGTAAATCATAAAGAATAAACGAGGAATTARCGGGCTGGTCCACAGTGAGGGAGCCAGAAGGATCCTGCTAGCGCTTGGGCGTGATCATGTGATCTCTGACCTCTGACCTCTGACCTGACTCAGTTACTTCTTTCAGCTTTTCTCCCTGAGTCTCCTGTCACTGACTTGTCCACTCTCAAGTCCCCGGGGAGCAGTCCAGGGATCCAGGTTTTGCCCYAGACTCGGTAGGCTGCAGGCCAGCCTAGGGGTTGACCATTCAGGGAGAGCCGCTGAATGGTCATTCAGACCACTTTGGTGTGGTCACAGGCAGCAGCACGGTGACCCGGGGGAAGGGACTCTTGCAAGGTGGMAGAGTGAGTCTTGTCCTGGCCTGGCCTTCCACTGGCAGGACGAGCTCGCGGCTGGCTGGGGAGGTTCTGGGGTCGTGGGGGGTGGGACTCGCTGGCCTCCCTGGTGACCAGCCCTCTTTTCCCTTCGCAGCGGCCAACCCCCTGCTCTGCTCCACGGCGCGCTACCACTGCAGGAACGGCCTCTGCATCGACAAGAGCTTCCTCTGCGACGGGCAGAACAACTGTCAGGACAACAGTGACGAGGAGAGCTGCGAGAGTTCCCAAGGTAGGAGTCGCTGGAGCCCCGGGCAGTGGCCCCCGCCACGCAGCGTGACCGTCACTGAGGCAGCATGGCACGGGAGGAAGGACCCCACGCCCGCCTCCAAACACAGCGTGGGTTGCTCCTACGCGTGGCCCCCCAGCCCTGGGGCGGGTAGGTGTGCGGGTCCCGGGGCCTTGACTGTGCTGTGCCCACCGTTCTGCATTTGGTATTCTTCGTCGTTCAATGTCCCTCACACCTTTCCTCCTCAGAATTGCACTGGCCCCAGCTGGGGACACACCCTCGTGTCACTGTGCTGTGGTTTCTAAGTCACTGCATGGTTGGGCCATGCGATCCCTTTCTTTCCATTGGATTATTTCTGTAGGATGGATTCTGCAGGGTGGGCCCCCTGTGCAGGTCGAGGCCACCTCTCACCACACAGCTGTTGGATTTTTTTTTTCTTCAGTTGATGTTGCTGCTGGTATCATTCACACCTGTCAGTTTTCCTGTTCTTTCAAAGACATTTGCTGTTGCTTTTTGTTTGTTTGTTTCATTTTACTAGTCCTGGAAGGAGAGCCTCCCCGAAGGCTCTGATTTGCGTTTCTGTGATTGAGGAGCTGAGCTAAAGTCCCACTCCCTTGTGTTTGTTTACTACTTTGTTTCCTCTTGTGTAAATTGCCTGCGCACATCTGAGGCTTTTGATTTCAGAGCTGTGTCATGGCAACAGAAGGATGCATGCAGCTGGGGGTGGAAACTGAGCTATGTTGGGAACCTGGGAGGCACAGGGCGGGGTGAGGCCATGGCCTCCACTAAGACTGACCGGCACCTTTCTTTACTTACTGACTCTTGTTCAGTAAGCATTCTGTAATGACCAGAAGAGACAAGGTAAAATAGTATCTGCATAGACTTGGCCAGATCTGTGCAGGGAACAGCTCAGGAGGTGAGTGTTGGTAGAGTGGGAAGCCTCTGATTGTCCCGGCCTGGAAAAGCCCTTCCCGGGTCTTCCCTTCCCAGTGGTTTTCTCCAAGTGCAACCCTCAGTCCAACTACCCCACGGTGGTGGGGGGGGGGGTGGGGACTTTGGAAATGCTTGTGCTGGGGCCCCATTCCCGACCATCTGAATCCACCCTTGAGGGTGGGTCAGCCATCTCTGTTTCATTTAACAAATGTTCCAGATTGTTCTAAAGCACACTAAGTCTGAGAGCCAGTGTTCTACAGGAACCTTAGAGAGGATTTTAATGTTGCCATTTGTCTAGGGATTGCTAAACTTCTGGGTATTGCTAGTCTTGAGACAAAGTCACATTTTTATAATATAAAATCAAAACAGATGCCAAAGTAGAGCCAGGGATGGATCCCAAATGGGAACCAACATCACCAAGCCAAGCACCTATTAGCATGGATGGGAGGGACGGAGGACATTTTTCTATCAATATTATCTCCCCCCAGCATCCTGTGTGTTCGTGTATCTCAGACTCTTCTCCTCATGGCGCCCCTAGGTGTGAGCTAGAAGGGCTCCCAAGGCAGACTTGGAGGTGAGGGGCCTGGAGGTGAGGGACCTGGAAGTGAGGGGCCTGCAGGTGAGGGACCTGGAGGTGAGGGGCCTGCAGGTGAGGG